GACCTGAAGCTGGGCCTCCAATCTAGTGAGATCGGCCTGGGCCCCGACTCCGAAGGGCAGAGGGCTGAGGGATGTTGGGGGCTTTCTCAAGATCATGCAACACCATTCGGGTGGTAAGGCTCGAAGCCACTCCGGCTACAGATCATATATTTTGCGTGAGTTGTTTAGATTTGCATCGTCGAGGGTTCGGCCTAGAAGCGCCACCTTGAGTGTGGAAGAAGGGAGTTATCAGGTGGTTTTCGAGTTGTTTTTTGCCTGCAGGCATCCCCCAACTCTGCTCGGGACAGTAATTAGGATCTTAGAGCGGGAGATCTTTCGGGTTCTTTGTCATATCTTGCTTCAGGGCTGCGGCTTCCGGGCTTCGAGGCATGGTCATATTTTTCAAGGGTCACCCTGCGGCTTGGCCAAGGCCCGGAGGGCGGCGCGGCGCTCGGCCGCGGCTTCGCCAGCTGCGGTGCTCTGCAGCGGCTGGAGCTGAAGTTGAACAACAACGAGCTGGGCGGGGGGCTCTGCCAGGGCTGAGTTTCGAGGTCCGGCTTTGATGCCGAAGGGGGGCTCCAAATCCTTCTGGGATGGACCTTGAGCTTGAGCTTGTCTTAAGGGTTATTGAGTGTTTCGTGCTTCGGGCTTCAGGAATCTTTTGCGAAGCGAGTTCTTAGGAGCTGTGCGTGGGCTAGATGACGGCAAGCTTGCTCGTCCAATCATGACCGGTGAGAGCCGCTAATACTCACTCTGCCAATCCGCCGAGGCGAGGTCGGAGGCGCTGCGCTGGCGGAGGATCGCAGTGAGAAACCAGCGCCCAAACCCAGACAACCATGAGGGTTTAGGATAAAGGGTGTTTGGGGTTTGTGTGGGTTTTGGCGAGTTCGTTTGTCTGGGTGCATGTAAATTCTTGCGACCGCTGGTGCAGGGCCTAGAGCAGTGTCAGAAGCTGTTGGCCCTGGATGTGGGGCTCCGACAGACTGGCATCGGTGTGGGGCCAAGCCTTCCGCTTCGTTTAGGGATGAGTGCTGCAGTCAAGACCTAGTTTCGCTCTCGCGTGGAGCATCGTCGCATGCATGTTGAGCATCCTCGCATTGGTCTTCTCCTAGAGCTCTTGGAGTGTTCTTGGGCCTGCGGATTCTTGGAGTGGTCTTGTGGTCTATCTTGAGTAGTCTTGCGGGTCTCGCGCACTCTCGAGATCTCATGCCGTTCGGGATCTTTGCTGCAGACCGGCAGAACATCCACTTGCTTATGCTTTTTCGTCACTTGCATCACAAGCGGTGCCGCAGTGGAAAATCCGTGATCCGCCCTGCCGACCCCTTTGGAAAGGAGGCAAAGCCTCCGGTGACTTCTCGCGTGGGTCCCGTTGCTTCCCCTTGCCTCTAACATCTTCGAACAAGGCCTAGTGTGCTTTGGTTCAGAAGGTGGCAGGACTCTTGTGAAGGTTTCATCAGCTGAGCCAGCATCTCATGATGTTGAGGTGATTTGGGATGTTTTTGAGAGCTTTCTGCTTGGATGCTTGTGGGTTTGCGTGGCCTAAGCTGGGCTTTAGGGCTGGCGTGCGCTGGGCCGAGGTGACGAGACCGGCAAAGCACTGGGCAGGGCCGTCGGCGCCTGCAGGGGTCTCACAGACCTGAAGCTGGGCCTCCAATCTAATGAGATCGGCCTGGGCCTCGACTCCGAAGGGCAGAGAGCTTGGGGCTGTTCCGGGCTTGCTCAAAATCATGCAACACCTTTCGGGTAGTAAGGCTCGAAGCTACTCCGGCTAGAGATCATATACTTTGCATGGGTTGTTTAGATTTGCATCGTTGAGGGCCACCTTGCAGTGTGGAAGAAGGAGTTATCAAGTGGTTTCTCAGCAGTTTTGTGTCCCTGCAGGCATCCCACGACTCTGCCCCAGACAGTGACTAGACTAACTAGGATCTTAACACGGGAAATCTTTCGGGTTCTTTGGCTTATCTTGCTCGGATGCGTCTTCCGGGCTTCGAGGCCAGGTACAGTTGGGCTGGAAGGTGGAGATTTTTTTCTTGGAAGTATAGTTGGAAGATGTTGGGGGCTGCTAAACAGATGGTCCAGCAGCTAACGATGCCGCTGGCCGAAATCCGAATCTGCCGCCTCGGTTTGGAGGTCATCAGGTTGTTTGTTTTGGGTAACTGTTGCTTCATGGCGTGGGCCGACTGCTGACCCGTGCCCCGTCCATGGCAGGCCCAGAGAACGGGCAGTAGTATGCGGTCATAGAAAGCTGTCATGAGATGTTTGGGATGAACGCGAAGAGACGTGACACGGGCTATTGACAGGCCTGCTGCCAGGTGGGAGAAAAATCTTTCTTCCGCATGCATGACGAGCGGTGCGTCACTAGAAAGCCCTTGGACTCGTCCACACTGGCAAATGGAAGGAGATGGAAGGAGGCAAACCATCAGGTGACCCCTCCCATGGGTTCGGTTGCTTCTTCCGGGCTTCATGCCATGCGTGATGGAATCATCTAAACAGGCCCAGTGCCCGTTGCTTCACAAGACTGCTTTAGGTCCTGTGGGCTTAGCAGCATGAAGTGATCACGCTGAGGTGGCTTGTTTCTCGTTAGAATTTCTAGGCATGGACGGATGTGGGTTTCCTTGGACTATAAGTTGGCTTCGTGAGCTTGAGGCTTAAGGGCCACCTTGCATCCGTTTTGCGAAAGTGGAGGGATGGCCACATCCCAAAGTGTCAACCTGCGTCTTGGCCGAGGCCTGTGGTGTGCTGCGGCGCTCGGCCGAGGCATTGCCAGCTGCGGTGCTATGCAGCAGCTGGAGCTGGGCTTGTTCGAGAACAAGCTGGGCCGGGAGCTCTGTCGGGGCTGACATTCGAGGTCCGGCTTTGATGCCTACAGTAGTAGTGGGTTTCAAATCGGTTTCAAATCCAGCGTTTTGGGCTTGGTATCTTTGACAGAGCGAGTCCTTGGGAAGGGGGACTACGTGAAAGCAAGCTTGCTCAATCCACTGAGGCGAGGTGGGAGGCACTGCGCTGGTGGAGGGCCTTGGGCAGTGCCAGCAGCTGCTGGCCCTGCGTCTGGACCTGCGCTGGAATGACATCGGTGCGGGGCCCGGCCTTTTGTTTCGTTAAGGGCTGAGGGCTGAAACGAAGATCCATGCAATGCCCTGGTCGAGATTTCAAGTCAAAGCTACCAGCCAAGCCAGTTTACCGGGGTCGCCTGCAGCCTCAGTTCCGAATGCACTTCGTGTTTCTGTCATTCTGCTGCTTCTATTCCTGCGACCATCTGGCAAGCTGCAGCCCACTGAAGCTAGACGTTGAGCAGCGGCGCAGCTGAGGTGATGACGTGAAGGTCCAGCTGCACTCCCAGCTGGAAGCCATGGGACTGAAGGAAATGCACGTCACGTTGTATTGATTCAATTATTGATTCTGATATTCCGGCATCCTACGAAGAACGCTCCGACGAAGAATCGCGCCTTTCTGACACCTTGGTTTCGTAGAGCTTCATTTCTTGTACAGCTAGACCGCCTGCTGTAGCAAGAAGCCACGGCAGAGAAACCTTGCTTTGCTCCATTGCACACGTAGCTGAACCAGGGGTGAGCCGTCTCTAGCCTTGGTCTCTTCTGTCCGCAAGACCAGTGCTGCTTGCGTAGACATATGATAGAGGATAGTGTAGGGATGCAACGGATGCGACTTCCATGAAAGCTGCCCACTGCATATTTCACCGAGTAGAAGATGGAACTCAATCATCTAAACCCCAAACCCTAACGCCTAAACCCTAAACACTAGACCCCTGTAGGAAAGACTTCTTCTCAGGACCTGGAAAGTCCGGGAGCCGCGGTATACACAGGGGATCAAGGGGGTTTCCCAAATTCAGGGTACCATCTTGGGCGTCCCAATAATAAGGATTCTTGACCATTTGTTTTTTTTGGGGGTCCCCCTGTTTCGGGAAATTGCCATACGATAAGTTACACTGATAGACCTAAACAAAATCAGCTTAAAAGCTGAAGTAAGGCCAACCTTCTTACCATCAGCCTTTTGCCCTCAGCCTCTGCTTCTTGAGAAAGACCATGGTTCACTCAGGCATGAAGCCGGAGATATTCCCTAAAGCTTGTGCAAACCCTCAAAACCCAAAAGCCTCAAGCTCCTCAAAAACAATGGCGACTACAATAATGGACACTTGAATGTTAAGAAGTATTATAACCCCCATTATAGCCCTTCAAGCCTCAAACTCCAATCTGGCGCCTGCACCCGTCACTGCTTCGCAGCCTGCTTAGCGGCCTGCTCTCACCCTGGGTCTGTGCCAAAATCAAGGTGACCAGTCTGCCTATGCGGTAGCCAATATGGGGGTCATAGAGTCCACGTCCATGGTTTGGCACATGCCCACCTGACCGTCTTGAGATTCGGGCTTCACATCACAGATGTGAGTGAATAAGCACCTCCTGACTGTTGACTGTCTCGAGCTTTCCTTCTGGGCTGCCGCTGATGCGGCAGAAGCTGAGCTGCGCACGAAAAATTGGCACCACAGCATCGTTCCTTTTTTTTCAAGTCTCCACTAGCCCGCTACTCAAACCACAATGATGGCTGTCATGTCCACTCCCTCGTCCTAGCTTTTTCAATCCAGGAGGAACTCGCACCAACCGAAAAAAAATCTGATCAGACGTCCTGTGTTCTGGTGACAAATCATTCGCAAGATTTGTTTTTGTACCTACTTGCATTTCTGACCATGCCACTTTGTGGGACCCTGAGGTTAGGATATGAAGATGTAAGTATTTTCAACCTCGAAAAGCTTATCATACCCTAGGCTACCTAACCTCTCAACAAATTATATCAACCTCAAAAAGCCTATTATACCCTAAACCCTAAACCCTAGACCGTGTGGCTCTATCAACCTCAAAAAGCCGATTATACCCTAGGCTAGCTAAATTCTCAACCCCAGTCTAAGGTTCGAAGTATGGGCTCCTAATATGGGCTTTTTGCTCTTTTAGGGGGATTCCAGCCACCCTTAAGCGTACATACATACAGGTTTAGGGTTTAGCGTTTAGGGTAAGGATCCCAGGGTGAAGGGCCCATACTAGGGGGCCCATTTTTTTTCCTTTAGACCCAGGGAACCTTAAACCCTAAAGTCTAAACCCTAAGCCTCATAATCCTTGAATCCTAAACCCATGTGAGCAACTGCTTTTATTATCGTGTAGGAGCCAAGAGCAGGCAATCAGGGACATGAGCAAAACCCTAGTAAAGCGATAGGGCTCCCCCCAAAAGCGAAACCCCCGAAAGGGATGACAGCGGTGTGCAAAAACCCTGTAAAGCGATAGGCCCACTCCAAAGTGATTTTTACTTAGCTGTTTACTGATGATTCAGGTAGCTGCTGTAGAGTGGCTATATCTAGGGTCATAACCATCGGGAGGTTTAAAAGGGTTTTTTTAGAGGCAACAGGCATATAAGGACCCCAGATTTAGAGGCCCATATTAAGGGCCCAGAGTTCCAATCTTTGTCTGTGGCTGGGAAATTTATAGCTGGGAGATAACTCGGGTTCAGGAGTTAGGGTTCAGTTACCAAGTATATAGGCTAATTAGGGTTTAGGGTTCAGTTACCAGGTAGGTCATCACAGTGCTCCCGAAGCCCTGAACCCTAAAACCAATTTTTGTTGGCCTGCAGCCGTGTCGGCTTCTGATTTAACCAAATGGTTTGCTTGCCAAATCAGACGACGTGTCGCCGGCCTGATTGTAACGTCTTCAAGGGGATCATGATATGAGCTGTAGGCCAAACTCGTGAAGTTTAGGGTTTAGGGTTATATAGGGGACTATGGAGTACTGTAGGGGAGTATTATAGGAGTTGTATTTAGAGAGATACTAGGAGTTTAGATTAGAAGGACATTGCCCCAACCGCGGAGAACTGAATGGACAAGCAAAGGGAACGTAAAATGGAACCTGGGGCTACTTTGGGTTGACGTGCAATGTTGGAAATCTTAAACCCTGAACCCTAAAACCCTAAACTCTAAAACCCTAAGACCCTAAAACTCTGAACCGATCGAGGGCTCATTGTTAGCAAGCCTACGAAGTCAAATACGGTGGATACTTGAAATCCTGCATGACCGCAAGTAACTTATACCATGGGAATTACGGTATGATAGTATACCTTAGGAGGAACCCCCCACCCTGTAATAGTGGTAGGATAGCAATATGACAAGACCCTGATATAATCTTTACTATCCCTTTTACTCGGGTCGCGCAGCATTTGTAGTATCAACAGTAGGACGTCTTCGCAGCATGATCGAGTTTGATGTCATAGTTGAAGGTCGATGTTTGATATATAGTCTAAATTCTCTGAGGGGGATTATATAGAGGGTTCTATAGGGGAGTACTGTAGGGGTTATTAAGGGGGATGCTAAGAGTTTTGACTATAGCTCATTGGATACCTGCTAAAGTACGAAAGCCCTTCTTTGGTGTACTGGCATGAACGCTTTCGAGTTATCCAGCAAGGATCAATTTCCTGCAGGTGAATCACAGCTCGTTGGAGTGTGTAGTCCAGAATGCCCGCAGTTCTTCAGAAGAGGTCCCTAAACCCTAAACCCTAGAAACCATTCTCACAACCTGTCTTCCCGCTGCTCCCAGCCGCTCCCCAGTGAGCTCCAAACCCAACTTCTACAACGATCTCCTCCCCCTAATATCACTAAGTCAACTACATGCTGCACGTAAAATTTGCGTGCGGATTTGCGGATTTTCGCAAGAATTCAAAAGTCCAAAAATCACAGCATCATGTTTTCTTCCGCGTTTCCGCAAAAATCAAAAAATCCAAAATTGCCTCGGTCCAGCTTCCTTGCCAGTTTACGGATTTTCGCAAAAACTTGCAAATTTGCGCCAAAATATGTATCTGCAAATTTGCGCAAAAATCCGCAAATTTTCGCAAGAATCTGTAAATTTTCGCAAGAATCTGTAAATTTTCGCAAGAATCTGTAAATTTCCGCAAAAATCTGTAAATTTCCGCAAAAATCTGTAAATTTTCGCAAAATTGTAAATTTTCGCAAAAAATGTAAATTTTCGCAATTTCTGAATTTTTGGGTTCCGGGCCCACAAGATTATGTTCAAAAATTCAAAAATTTTTGAATTTTCGCGTATTCGCCCCAAACCAAATCGCGTAAATATCGCTCATCGTTTCGCTGCCACATCACCCCCCACCCTAAGGTTTTGGGTTTAGGGCTTAGCGCCCGTCACCGCGCCGCCTTAACATGAAACATTCCCCGCCCATTGTGGTATATTAGAATATATTGGGATTATTTAATATTGGGGGGCGGGGTTGGCGGGGTTAAATCTAAATATTAGGGGGAGGGGATTAAGACCTTTACAGGGTTTCTGGAGCTTGTAGGAATGACAAGGCTTGTCACAAAGCCTCTCTCCGTGAATGTTTCTGTGCAATCATGCCAATCATCATAGGGCTTATTAAATGTTAGCATGACATTAATAACCCCCCCCCAGAACTTGTTTTGCGATTTGGGCTTATGGAAGGGGGGGTGTCGCAATAATAAATGACGGGGGTGGCGGTAGTACTAGGTAGTGCAGCTCGTAGGACCAGTAGTACAAGTAAAAGGAAATCTACTAAAATCGGGATATTTCGGGCCGAGAAATATGTTATTGTCACCCCTTTATTATTGCCGATGGACCTTAAGTAGACCTTGTCGGGCTCCAAACTTGTTAGAAAGCAAATTTGATTGTCCGGGATTTTTCCGGTCCATCAACTCAATGCTACTGTCACCCCAATTCATAATGCAATGCTAACATTAGGGGTTTGGGTCTAGGGTGCATCTGGGTCCTTGTTTCCAGGGTTTAGGGTTTGGGGATTGAGAGTCTAAGGTTCCACCAAGGGATGTATAGGGATTGTAAGGGGATTATGGGGGACCTCTTGGGATGTGTGTTTGATTGTGGAGTTCTCGAGCATATGCCAGACTCAGAGTGGCACCCACCTTTGTAGGTTCATCACTTTGCATAATCCTTTCATTCACCTTATCACATTGGGTATTGGAGGATAGGGTGTGTCAAACATTAGGTGCATTTGCAAAGAGATTGTTAAAACCTGCTCCTTTGAAGTCCCCACTAAGCCGCCATGCACCGCTCCAAGTCCCGCTAAATTAGATAGACTATGGGGTATATGGGGATCTTATTCTGACATATGGCAATTCCATATTCTTCCTACTGAAGGGAATGTTCCTTACCATGTTGTTTTCTAAGCTCCATTCCCTAAACGCTAAACCTTGAACCAAACCCCACACCCTAAACTCCTAAACCCTCAACCCTTAATCCTTACACTCAGATCCCTACACCCTGGTCCCCCAACCCTGCCAAATGTGTCAAAAGCCCAAGCTGAGGGTTTCGGGATAGGGAACACCCCACAACTTCATAGTCCACCTTCTAGGGACCT